TTGTTGTGTGTGAGTATTGCAAGTGGCTACAGTCACGCCCAAGTGAATGCACCGACTGAGACAAAAAAAACCAGGGGGTTCAAGTTGAGATTATATGTGACCTAAATCCAAGAGATGGGGACACAGGTCCATGCGGTCTAGGAGGAGAAGCGGTAACGGTGACTTGTATCCCACGCCACCCTGCGGAGCCGGTGGAGCCGTACGATACGGGTCGGGACTAAAACCATGAGTACCGCCAGCGTACACGCTGGTGGTACTAATAAACTTTATTTTCTAGAAAGTTAATAGTACGTGCACTGATACCATATGTGGGAAGACAAGTACAGAATGGTGATCTGCAGACAATACTGAGATATTCTGAACTGGTTTCCATGATCTATGCTCTGCAATAACTCACTATCTACCCATTAGAATGCTACAAATTCTGCATATAGTGGTTCACCTTAATTCCTGTTTAACTACAAACTGAAATACTGCTATCCTATCCTAGTCAAAAGTAATACAAGCTACTTCATTGTTATACAAGGTATCCAAATGTAATTTACATGTGTCTGGATTGAAAGAAAACAGCAGAAAGTGTAATAATCAAAGATTGTTGAAATGCACCAATTATAAAGTCCAATTTAGGAATCTAATCTGGAAGGTCATAAATGACACTGTGAAGGTAAAACTTTTGGCATACATTTTTAGGATAATGGAGCTATTAAAGGGCAAAAGATTCCCAATTTTATACATTTGTATTTTATTTATTTAGTAAATTATCTTATCTTATCATTTCTTATCTTATCTTATAAATACTCTTTTTAACTGCCAGGTTGAAACCAGTAATGACAGATGCAGTATATTATTGGCTTCCATGTCATGCCTGTCAACCTGCCATTTCATACCTAATGGGAAACAATGTTTATGCATGCATGTACTAGTGTATTAGTCAGAGAAGCTAATCCTCAGTTACATGCATCTTAACATGCACCTTACCATCTTACATTAGACAAATAACAGAAATTGACTTGAACGATTTTACTGTACTTGGTAAGTTTTTAACAAAATGTGGCAAGTGCAATAATATGTTTAAAGTGGCCAACAACAAGAGATGAAATCTGGACAAGTTTTGAAAAGATCTTCCAGAAACTACCTGATCCACCCTACTCTTCTCGGAAGAGCAAATGATGTTTTACAACACCACCAGACATTTTGAACGGTTTAAATGTTGGCATAATTTTCACTAAAGTTTTACCTAACCTCTGTTGCTAAGATAATAAAATAAACTCTTATTCTGGTAATCTTTTATTAATTTTGCTATCTTATCGTGTAACATTTGTCATATCTGTACTACTACAAATCCTGAATTCAGCTTCTGAAGTTTACTTTTAACTTTAAAAAATTAAAACAAATACTGTTCCTTTTGACCTAACCTCCATTACAAATTGTTCACTTTTTATTTGAACATTGGATATGTGTGTGCTGATTGATCTATGTTCATATCACAATAGATGGATAGCACTTTGTTCATAAACAACTAGTATGATATAAAAGCAAGTCTGTTCCCAGTGATTTCTAAAATCATATTTAAATTGGAATACCTCAGGCTTTGTATTTATAGAAAACATGTGACTTATTACCAAAGTGTTTGCACCACATTTTCTATAATTAAAGAGAAATGTTAAATTAGTAACAATATTTTTGAACTCATACAAAATCTTGGCAACTGAATCAAAAATGGAACCTATGACGTATGGAATGATTGAAATATAACCTAATTTAGATGTTACCTAACCTCCATAATGAAAAATTATTGTATTATGTTTACACGTGGATATTTCTTAAAATACAGTAATAGTGTGGGTTAAAATTCTTCTGCCACTCTCTGAATACCTCTTCATTAAAATAATATATAAAGTTTCCCAGTTTTGCAAAGTTCATATTTCTGCATTTCTCATTTCGAAATTGTACCCTTTCTTCTGGAATGAACGAGATGCTATGAAA